ATAATACAATCTGACAAAAGCATTACCAAAATACAACCTGACAAAAGCAGACAAGAAAACTGCAGACCAATATCACTCATGAACATAGATGCAAAACTCCTCAACAAAATATTAGTATATAGAATTCAACAATGTATAAAGAATTATACACCATGATCACGTGGGATTTATCCCAGGTATGCAAGGCTGGCTCAACATTTGAAAATTAATTAATGGCATCACATCAACAGACTGAAAAATCACACGATCATACCAATAGTCAAGGGAAAAACATTTTACAAAATTCAACATCCATTCATGATAAAAAACTCTCACCAAACTAGATACAGAGGGGAACTTCCTCAATCTGATAAAGAACGTCTACAAAAACCTATAAGAAACATCATATCTAATGGTGAGAAACCAGCTTTCCCACTAAGATCAGGCACAAGGCAAGGAATGCAGTAAGATAAGAGAAGGAAATAAAAGGTAAAGGAAATGGTGTGTGTTCAGTCGCTTCAATCGTGTCCGACTCTTTGCGACTTTACGGACTATGGAATTTTCCTGGCAAGAGTACTAGAGTGGGTTGCCATGCTCTCCTCCAGGGGATCTTCCTGACTAAGCGACTGAACCTGCGTCTCCTGTGTCTCCTGCATTGCAGGGGATTTTTTACCGACTGAGCCACCAGGGGAGCCCAGAGTAAACTGGGAAGGAAGAAAGAAAACTGTATTTGTTACCATTTGCTGTGATTGTCTATGAAGAAAATCTCTAAGAATCAACCAAAAAACTCTTGGAACTAATAAACAATCACAGCAAAGTTGTAACCATGGATAGAGGAGCCTTGCGGGCTATTGTCTGTGGGGTCACAAAGAGTTATACACAACTGAGTGACTGAGCACACACAAATGGAAAACAGTGTGGAAGTTCCTCTAAACACTAAAAACAGAGTTACCATATGATCCAGCAATCCCACTCCTGGTGTATATCCAGAGAAACTTAATTTGAAAAGAAACATGTACCCCTATGTTCACAGCAGCACTATTTACAATTGCCAAGACATGGAAGCAACCTAAATATCCACAAACAGATAAATGGATAAAGAAAATATGGTATGCATACACAATGGAATACTACTCAGCCATAAAAAAGAATGAAATAATATCATTAGCAGCAACATGCATGAACCTAGAGATTATCATACTAAGTGATGTCAGAAAGAGAAAGACAAGTACCATATGGTATCACTTATACATGGCATCTAAAATAAGACACAAATGAACTTATTTATGAAACAGAAACAGACTCATAGACACAGAGAACAGACCTGCAGTTGCCAAGGGGGAGAGGGAGTGAGGGAGGGATAAATAAGGACCTTGAGATTAGCAGGTACAAACTACTATATATAAAATAAACAGCAAGGTCTGACTGTACAGCACAGGAACTATTAATATCAATACATTCAATATCCTGTAATAAACCATAATGCAAAAGAATATGTGTGTATATATATATATAACCGAACCACTTTGTTGTACACAGAAACTAATGCAACACTGTAAATCAACCTGACAGGAACCAACACCACAAGCCTCACCTAATCCCAACTTCCCACAGCTTCTCGGAGAAGAGGGTCTCACTCTCATCCTCATGGTGTGGTCACTCACTTAAGAGCCAGACATCCTGGAGTGTGAAGTCAAGTGGGCCTTAGGAAGCATTACTATGAACAAAGCTAGTAGAGGCGATGGAATTCCAGCTGAGCTATTTCAAATCCTAAAAAAAATGAGCTGTTAAAGTTCTGTACTCAATATACCAGCAAACTTGGAAAACTCAGCAATGGCCATAAGACTGGAAAATGTTTTCATTTCAGTTTTCATTACAATCCCAAAGAAGGGCAATGGCAAAGAATATTCAAACTACTGTACAACTGCACTCATTTCACATGCTGGCAAAGTAACGCTCAAAATCCTTCAAGCTAGGCTTCAAAAGTATGCGAACCTAGAACTTACAGATGTACAAGCTGGATTTAGAAAAGGCAGAGGAACCAGAGATCAAATTGCCAACATCTGCTGGATCATAGAAAAAGCAAGGGAGTTCTAGAAAAACATCTACTTCTGCTTCACTGACTATGCTAAAGCCTTTGACTGTGGATCACAATAAACTGTAAAAAATTCTTAAAGATGGGAATACCAGACCACCTTACCTGCCTCCTGAGAAACCTGTATGCAGGTCAAGAAGTAACAGTTAGAACCCAACACAGAATAAAGGACTGGTTCAAAACTGGGAAAGGAGTAAGTCAAGGCTGTACTCTGTCACTTTGCTTATTTAACTTATATGCAGAGTACATTATGTGAAATGCTAGGCTGGATGAATCATAAGCTGGAATCAAGATTGCCAGCAGAAATATAAACAACCTCAGATATGCAGATATTAGCACCCTAATGGCAGAAAGCGGAAAAGAACTAAAGAGTCTCTTGATGAAAGTGAGAGAGGAGAGTGTAAAAGCTGGCTTAAAACTCAACATGTTTACTCCTTGGAAGGAAAGCTATGACAAACCTAGACAGCTATTAAAAAGCAGACATCACTTTGCCAACAAAGGTCTGTATGTTCAAAGCTATGGTTCTTCCAGTAGTCATGTACAGATGTGAGTTGGACCATAAAGGATGAGCACCGAAAAACTGATGCTTTCGAACTGTGGTGCTGGAGAAGAGTCTTGAGAGTCCCTCGGACAGCAAGGATATAAACCAGTCAGCCCTAAAGAAATCAACCCTGAATATTCTTTGGAAGGACTGATGCTGAAGCTCCAATATTTTGGCTATGGGATGTGAAGAGCTGACTCATGGGAAAAGACCTTGATGCTGGGAAAGACTGAGGGCAGGAGAAGGGGTGACAGAGGATGAGATGGTTAAATAGCATCATCAACGCAATGAAGAGGAGTTTGAGCAAACTCCAGGAGATAGTGGAGGACAGATAAGCCTGGTGTGCTGCAGTCCATGGGTTACAAAGAATCAGACATGACTTAGCAACTAGACAATTCGTCCTCAAGTTCAGTTTGAAAAACAGGCAGAAAAGTTTCAGGCCAGCCACACTTAAGCCCTAAACCAAAGTTGGAGGGGCCTGTTTTTGTGAGAATACAGCCACTCCACTAGGACCACCAGTTTGGAGGGGAGGGGCAGGGGTGTCATAATGGGGGCCTCTGGGACATTTCCAATGGCATAGCTTGCCACAGATACATACTGGGATCTCTTCAAGGCTTCAAGGTCAGAATGTAATTTGTGGCACCCTAGGGTGAAGAACATGGCCTTGTCCCAACCATGACAGTAGCAGTGGAAGGCATGGCATGGCTGATGGCCTTGGCTGCACTTGGAAGGGAAAAACTCCAACTACAAATGTTGCCTCCTAAATGAATATTGGTGGGTCCTTCCTGGGTGCCAAAGGGCAACTGACATTTGGCAAACATGAGACTGGGCCCACACCTGCAGATTGACGTTAGAGGGGCCCGTTCTGCAAACGTAAGAAAGCCATACCTCACAGGTCACAAGTAGATCGTGAAAATAGATGTAACTGAGGTTTTGTCCCAATTGAATCATTTTATTTTGTAATAGGTGTTCATTAAGTTGAGAGATAATGTTCATACTCTTAAAAAAAAAAATTATTTATTTGGCTGCACCGGGTCTTAGCTGTGGCATGTGGGATCTAGCTCCCTGACCAAGGATTGAACCCTTGAGAGGATGGAGTCTTAGCCACTGGAACACCAAGGAAGACCTCAACTGAATCATTTTAATCCATCACTAGGAACTGCTGAGTAAAGTTTCCCTTACAAGCAGCTGGGCAGCCTGCCCCATAACTTTTTGGGCCTGACCATAGGGCAGGCCCAGTGGCTTTTTTTTGGTATAGAAAGAACCAGGGAATTTGCCCTGGGAGCATCTCACAACCAGATGGAAGGGAATTCCAGGCCAACACCCACAGTCCTTCAACCCTTAGGTGAGGTCATTCAGAGGCAACTGTTGTGCACTGGCCCCCAGAAGCACTTGATGCACTAAGCCCCCAACTACTCTTCTTAATACATAATCTGCCTCCCCTTCCAGGGCTTTCTGTGATCACCTCCAACATAAACTGCTTGTACCTAATCCTGTCTCAGGCGCTCCTTCTCAGGGATCCACACCAACCCACCACATTGTAGTAGAGAAAGCAAGTGCTATCATCCAAACATATAAGAAGACAAAGGTGATAAGAAGGACAAGAGGTGGAGACCTCCCAAGAAGCCTCCTGAGGACATACTTGACCACGAAGGCTCAGACACCCAACTCAAGGTAGTACAGGAGCAGATGTGCATTAATGAAACTCACAGAAACAGAAGGTGAAATCACACACTCAGTGCTTTTAATTCAAAGGAAAACAACATCATCAGACCTCTAGCATTCACCTGACACCACCTTCTCTCCCCATAGACTGATGGTGGGCATGGGCTGGGCTCAAAAGGAGTAATGGAGCCTCCCTGCTGAACAACTCACACCTCTGTGAACTGCGGTGGGGCTGGACACCAACAAACAAAATCCTTGATGATGGTGCCTAAGTAGGTGCAAAGGCAGAGGCCAGCTCCCCAACTCTGAAAGTCTCAAGAGGCTCCTTTCGCACTGCGATGACTATGGTTTGGAAGAAGAAAGTGGGCCAAGTTCCAAGTAGCTGTTCCTTACTACCTCAGCACTAGGGGCTGGTGAACTGGAGGCTGGCTGGCAGGGATGGGGAAAAGTAGGGTCAGGACAAGCAGGGCTGGCCCGATGCGGAGTTCTGAGTAAGTCACAAGGCAGCTCCAGGCATAGAATGTTCTCTGATTCCTCCTCTCTACCCTCTCCCCAGACCCCTTTTCTGCCAGTTTGTCCCATCCATTTGTCCTGGGTGTGGCAGCACACCAGAGCTGAGAGCAGGCTGGGAAGGAGGAGGCGGATGCCAAACTTTACTTGACTGTGTGTCTCTTTAACAGCATCTCCTTGACCTTGGGAGGACTCCCATCCCAGTGTGGGTCAGTGGGACCAGGCAGCACTGAATTCTTTCTCTAGACTCTGGACAAACTGGTCATTGAGGAAGAGCAGCTGACCATGGGGCAGGAAGCGGGTGAGGATGCCTTCGATGTAGTCAGCCCTCAGCAGGAGGTTGGCTCCAGGGACCAGCAGTCGGAGGTGCTCAATGAGAAGGCGAGCCAGCAATCGAAGCGTGCTCTCCACCAGCAGCAGGTTCTCATGAGTATCCAGCACCAGGGCAAAGCCTATAGAGAGCACGCCTAGCCACACCACTGTCCGAGGCTCCTGGAAAGGGTCCCCTGGCGCCAGGCGGAAGGCCCCACATGGGGCCTCATGAAGGGCAACTGGATCATCTGAGGACTGGGGCTGCAGGTCCACAGCATGCCGGCCACACGCCTGCTGCTGCAGCTGGTACATGGACTCCACCTGCCTGGGAAGAATAGGTGGGTCATGGACTTGTCATCCTCAGGACCATCCCTGGAGCTAGGAGCTGCCATTATCCCCATAACCAGATGTAGAGACTGAGCCTTGGAAAGACGAAGTGCAGTGACCCTGCCCAGGGCCACAGTACAGAAAGCATGAGCCCAGACAGGAATTTAGGCTCCAGCCTCCAGGGCTATGCAGCCTAGAGAAGGCAGGTTCTGAATACAGCTCCTTGGGCTGGGAAGGGGCATCAGGGAAAGAAGATCCCTCCCCTAACTGATTCACAGAGGCCTCCTCAACATCTCAGTAAGAGATGAGAAGTGGAGTATAAGCTACATCCAACCCAGGATGTCTGTAAACTCCCCACCCTCACCCCATCCTGAAGCCTTCTCCAAAGAGAAAAGAAAAACTTTCCACTTGGACATCCAGGCTTTTCAAATCACCCTCTGACCTCTCATGAATCACCTTCCAATCTGGGCCATGTACAGGCTGCTATTTTTTTTTTAAGATATTTATTTGGCTCTTCCGAGTCTTAGTTGTGGCATGTGGGATCTAGTTCCCTGATTAGGGATTGAACTTGGAACCTGGGCCTCCTGCCTTGGTAGTGTGGAGTCTTAGCCACTAGACTACCAGGGAAGTCCCAGGCTGCTCTTAAAGACACCTGTTTGGTTTTCTGTGCCACATAACGGGAAGGAGGCCCAGAGAAACAAAGAGGTAACAAGAGACTGGTCCAAGGTTGCGCCAGAGTGTTAACCGTCCACCCAAAATGCACAGGGGCCAGGAGACTCTGGCATCTGTTGCTTCAGTTTGGGTCTGGGAGGAAAGGGTCCCAGGCCAGCTACCCCATCTGGAATAGTGCTTCCCAGCTGTATACTCTCTGGATCCAAGGCTTTCAGGAGGCTCTTGGTGAAGATTCCCACAAACTACATTCTCTCTCCTTTTTAGAGATTCATAAAGCTTAAAGGCACACTAAGGGCCCTGAAAAGTCCTGCACTCAAAGCATGTTTAATCTGTACTGTTTACACTCAAATCCCAACTCTTTCATTTTCTAGACTCTATAGCTTATCTGTAATCTTCAAATTCCTTTAACTCTATATAATCATCTGTAAGATGGAGATAATATACCTATCTCAAAACACTGTTTCAAAGATAAAATGAGCTCATATACATGAAATATGTAGAACATAAAATGCTCACTACACACATGCTAAATAATACTAACTACAAAAAAGTTATAGTAAATGCTAAATAACTATAATAAATAATCATGATAATAACATTATTTCTTTAAACCCCTTTCATATAATACTTGTGAACAACTGGGAAGACTCTTCGAAAGCACTATTCTAAAAACTTTCTCTCTGCTTCTTAGTCCTCTTGTTTCTCTGTGCCCTCCCAGAAAACCTATCATAATCACTGACCAGGAAGCCCTGGGGCTGGGCTGGATGGTGTGGTTACCTGGCCACGGCCAACATCTGCTCCTTTCGGAGAAGTCTGTCCCTCTCAGCACTGCGTGGCTGGTGGTCACTGGGTGAATTCTCCGCACCGAAGCAGCAAGAGTAGAGCACCCGGCAGAGGCCCTCCTCAGCCTTGGTGGCGCGCAGGGTATGGATGATGAAGGCGTGGACCATGGCTCTGGGATGGTGATACAAAGAAGTCAGACACTTCAGTGAGATGCGTGTATAACCCCCTCAAGGGAGGCAACCACACAAAGCATTTGGCCTAGCTCCGCCTGGAGGGTGGTGTGGCTGGTCACTGGTCCTCCTCAGCCACCCAAGACACACGCCCAGCTCTGGCCAGCACCTTTGCCCACAACGGAGTCTAGTGGCTAAGATATCCTGGACAACCCCAAAGCCAAATCTACAAACTGCTGGCCAGGAATTTTTTTTAAAACTGTAAGTTATCAGAGTGAAGAGACACTGGGGAGATGCTCCAGATTGAAGAAGGCCGAAGACATAGGACAGAGGAATACAACCCTGGCAGAAAAATTGGTAGCTTCAATATACAGCATTATTAGGATAACTGGAAGCATTTAAATATGGATTACAGGTTAAATAATCATCCTGATCAATATTACCTGGTTTTAAATGTAGGGGAACATCCTTGTTTTTAAAAAATACACACTTAAGTACTTCTAAATACACAAGTAAAGGAGCATCACATCTGCAACAAACTGAATTAGAATATTACGTATCCAGGAGTTCTTTATAAAAAGTTTACAGAAAGAAACTTTCAGTCTTGAAATCTGTAAGCCTGAGATCATGTCAAAATAAAGACCATGAAATATAAAAAATAATTGTCTGACTGGCTAAGTGACCAGCCCGGGACTGAAAGGTAGCAGGGATCTTTGACTAAGGGTGAACAGACCGCCAGCTTAAACCAGTTAAAAATGAAGGTTCCAGAAGGTTCTTTAAAACCCGAGCCCGAAGACCTGAGCTGACCTCCCATGACCCTCTAGCCACGAGAAGATTTACGTCATCAACCTTCGCCACGGGCCTCGCACAACCCCGAGGTGCAGTGCATCTGGGGGGTTGTAGTTGCTTGCCCCAGCTAACCAACTGTGTGGGGTGGGGTGGGGCGGACTGAATGTGCACCGCAACCCCGGGCCGCTGTCTTCAGGGAGTGGTACTCACCTTTCCTTTCGTGCCTGCAAACTTCTAATAACGGGCCAAGTCCCTCGGCTAAAGGGGCAAAATGGCGGCTGCGCGGCACTTGGGCGCCTGCGCACGCCACTAGCGGGCGCGCGTCCGAGCGTGACATTCTCGGGGTGGGCGAGGTCTCATTTCCGGAAATGGGCTCCGAGGGCGGGGTGTGGGCAACTTGCCTCGTCTGACAAAAACCCCTAGCCCCGAGTTCCCTGCGCGGCCTATGCTGGTCACTCGCTGACTGAGTACGCGACGTTCCCACTGGCAGTCCTGCACCCCCCGAGCCCCAGGCCATTTTCCCCGGCGGCCGCGAGGGGGCGTAGCGACCCGGCTTGTGGAGTTTCCGGAAGAGGCAGGGTCTGAAGGTGCAGGGCAGCGGATCTCAAACTAGTTCACATGCGTAGGAACCCGCGGTGTGTGTGTATGTGTGCTTAGTCACTCAGTCGTGTCCGACTCTTTGCGACCTCATAGACTGTAGCCTGCCAGACTCCTCTGTCCATGGGGATTCTCCAGGCAAGGATACTGGAGTGAGTTGTCATGCCCTCCTCCAAGGGATCTTGCCAACCCAGGGATCGAACCTGGGACTCCCGCGTTGCAGACGGATTCTTTACCGTCTGAGCCACCAGGGAAGCCCCAGGGAATCTTGGGGGCACCTGTTAAAATTCAGGTTACTGGGCTTTGGCCCAGAGAATGAAGGCTTGGGGAAAAATAAGCATATTTAGGCAGTTGAGGGAGCGGGGCTTCTGTGTTGTATGTACCTCAGATGGGTTAAGACTAGGGCTTGAGGTGGGTTGGTGGCGGGGGGTTGGGGGTGGGGGGGGGAGACTAGGGCTTGGCTTGGAGTAGACCGATTGAAAGTGCGGTCCCAATCCTGTTTCCAGCTGTCACTGACAGTTCAGTCATTTTACTGGGCCCCAGTGAAGCCCCATAGGATTTAGTAGACCGATTAATTTTTCCTTTAACACTCCTGCCTCTAACAAGCTTCTTCCTTGCCCCTCTTTGAGGGAGGCTATCAAAAGTATATATAGGGGACTTCTCTGGTGGTCCAGTGATCAAGACTAGGTGCTCCTAATGCGGGGGTCTGGGTTCCATCCCTTGTTAGGACACTAGATCTCATGTGCTGCAACTAAGAGTGGACATGCCTAAGCGTTGGAAGATCTTGTGTGCCACAACTAAGACCTGGTGCAGCCAAATAAATATATGTTAAAAAGCTTGTGTGTATATGTGTGTGTGTGTGTGTGTTTAAGTACTTTCCTATTGGAGTCTTGGCCTAGCAGTGTTTGGGGCCCTGCAAGACTTCTCTGGGCCACGTGGCTTGCCCTGGTCTCCCCAGCCCCCTGCCTCCCCACACATAATCATTTTACTTCCTGGCAGGTCAACTGCTGCAACCTACCCAGATATGTTGTGTGCTTCAGAACCCCACACTGGTTATTCCCTCGGCCTGGCCAGCCCTTCCCTCCCCTTTATTAGCCCTTTGAAAGGTACTCAGACCAAAACTTAGGGGATGCCTTCCTTCTAGACTGCAGTCTAGAAGTCTGCTGTCCCATTAACACCCACTGTGAGGGTCTGCCCAGGGTGCTGATGTCTCCTATGGGATACACCCTGGCTGTGATGCCCAGTTTCAGTCACCAGGGCCAAACACACTCCTTGGTGACTGAAGAAAGAAGGGCAGTACAGCTCAGGCAGAGAACCTGGTGTGCAGACTGGGCTCCTCTGGCCATAGGACTCAGGCAAAGAGGCAGAGAAGGGAGGCTAGAGGAGATGGCCTGGGTACTGGCCAGAATATGTGGGCATTCTGGTCACAGATGCAATATGTAAACATTTTTGTATGTGGAGGGGCAATCCCAGAGATAGTGGGGCCTCAGCCAATAGACTGGGATGATGTTGGCTCAGTTCCTGGTCTCTATCACTCTCAGCCAGGACTCATGTCTGCCAGCTGATTACAGCAAAGAGCTGGCAGAGGGCACTGTTTGCTGGGGGCCAACTGACATCTGGAACACACTACTGGGGCCTTTGTCCACTCCTTGGGCAGTAAGTCCACTCCAGGTCCCAGGCTAGTGTGGGGTACATGGGGGAGACAGCAGTGAGAAGCTGGGCTGAGCTTCTGGAGGTCAGGGGTGACCCAGATGGAGGTGGTGTCAAGGTAAGTATAGCAGGCTCAGATGCCATTTTCAACTTTTGGTAGCTTGTGTCATAGGCCAACTTGTGCCCTCAAGGGCAAAGCAAGGTGCTGAGACAGTGAGGCAGGAAGAGGCCTGGGTCCCCAAAGACACTGCAGAAACTTCTTGCTGAATGAGGAGCACATATATTTATTTTGTTCAACTGCCGTGTGGGGTTTCGTTAGATGCTGCTGTTGTTCAGTCGCTAAGTTGTGTTCGAATCTTTGCAGTCCCATGGACTGCAGCACTCCAGGCTACTCTGTCCTCCACTATCTCCGTGAGTTGCTCAAATTCATGTCTGTTGAATCAGTGATGCTATCTAACCATCTCATCCTCTGTTGTCCCCTTCTCCTCCTGCCTTCAATCTTTTCCAGCATCAGGGTTTTTTCCAATGAGTCAGCTCTTCCCATCATGTAGCCAAAGTATTGGAGTTTCAGCTTCACCATCAGTCCTTCCAATGAATATTCAGGGTTGATTTCCTTTAGGACTAACTAGTTTGATTTTGCTGTCCAAGGGACTCTCAAGGGTCTTCTCCAACACCACAGTTCGAAAGCATCACTTCTGTGGCACTCAACTTTCTTTATGGTCCAACTCTCACATCCATACATAACTACTGAAAGAACCATAGCTTTGAACATATGGACCTTTATTGAAAAAGTGATGTCTCTGCTTTTTAATAGCTGTCTAGGTTTGTCCTTTCCTTCCAAGGAGTAAGCATCTTTTAATTTCATAGCTGCAGTCACTGTCTGCAGTGATTTTGGAGCCCAAGAAAATAAAAATCTGTCACTGTTTCCACTTTTTCCCTTCCTATTGGCCATGAAGTTATGGGACTGGATGCCATGATTTTAGTTTTTTGAATGTTGTATTTCAAGCCAGCTTTTGCACTCTCCTTTTTCACTTTCATCAAGAGGCTCTTTAGTTCCTTTTTGCTTTCTGCCATTAGAGTGGTATCATTTGCATACCTGAGGTTTTTTATATATCTGCTGGCAATCTTGATTCCAGCTTATGATTCATCCAGCCTGGCATTTCGTATGATGTACTCTGCATATAAATTAAATAAGCAGGCTGACAATATACAGCCTTGTCATAATACTTTTCCAATTTTGAACCAGTCCATTCGTCTATGTCCAGTTTTGTTACTTATTGACCTGAATACAGGTTCTCAGGAGACCGGCGAGGTGATCTGGTACTCTAATTTCTCTGAGAATTTTCCAGTTTGTTATGATCCACAAAGTCAAAGATGATAGCGTGATGAATGAAGCAGAAGTAGATATTTTTCTGGAATTGCTTTGCTTTCTTCATGATCCAGTGAATGTTGGCAATTTTATCTCTGGTTCCCCTGCCTTTTCTAAACCCAGCTTGTATATCTGGAAATTCTCAGTTCACATACTGCTGAAGCCTAGCTTGATGGATGTTGAATATAACCTTGCTAGCTTGTGAAATGCACAATCATTCTTTGCCACTGTCCTTCTTTGGGATTGGAATGAAAACTTTTTCCAGTCTTATGGCCACTGCTGAGTTTTCCAAATTTGCAGGTATATTGAGTGCAGCTCTTTAACAGCATCATCTTTTAAGATGTGAAATAGCTCAGCTGGAATTCTGTCACCTCTGCTAGCGTTGTTTATTTAATGCTTTCTACCAGTCAATCCTAAAGGAAGTCAGTCCTGAATATTCATTCGTTGGAAGGACTGATGTTGAAGCTGAAGCTCCAATACTTTGGCCACCTGATGTGAAGAACTGACTCACTGGAAAATACCCTGATGCTGGGAAAGATTGAAGGCAGGAGAAGGGGACGACAGAGGATGAAATGGTTGGATGGCATCACTG